CACCAATATTGAGACTAATTTCTCTCCATAAGCACACACCTCACACAATATCTTTCCCTTACTCACTGAGAGTGCTGAAAGATAAAATGAAATTAGATTATTCTCAGGGGAACAATGGCCTATTGAGCCACTATCTAAGACTAATATGAGTAATTCCCCTTGCAGGTCAGGTAGCCTTTCAAGGAGGCAGCATAATGCAATCATTACAGCATGGCTCTTCAGACCAGCTACTGGCAAATAATAAAGCCTGTGTTCTTTATACTGAGTTGCAGTCCATTTGACACAAACAACATTTTAATAATCTTTGGGTGCAAAGATGTAGACATGTAGTTAAAGGTTTGGTAGTTGGCTTAGCCATGCAGAGTACATAACATAAGAGAGCATATACAAGAAAATCAGATAAGAGGACTTGGATGGAGCTAGATAATGTATAGAGAGCTGAAACCAGCCACTAAAGACAGACATAATCCAAATAATGGCATTTTACAGGCCACGCATATAAACAGACAAGAACCTAAAAATAATGTATGGATATGCAGATTAAAAAAATTATATAAGCAGGTATAAATCAACAAATTTTACCAAAAACTATGATTTACATCAGGAGTTCTGATCAAAGAATTAGAACAGCACAATGAACTGAAATCGCAATATGTCCAAAATGTGTGACTAACAGCAGTTTTCTAAATTTAAGAGAAGATGTTTGTTTGGTACAGACCCCAGTGTCACATCATCAGGATTTTAATAGTTTTTTCAGTAAAGATTACATTTCGGATGCAAAAATGATCATTCCCACACTAATCATGAATCATATCATACAAAATAATGAGACACATAACACACAGTATTTTGACTTAATAATGACTTAGTATCACTATATTTTCGTCACATTGGCGGAAATGGGCTTCCATATGTTCCCAATCTTAAAGCTTCTTAAGGGAAAATAAAAGCATTTTAAAGGGTTAAAATTAAGTCAGATGTCAGTATTTCATGTTCACATGTGTAATGAACTTGTGAGCAGTTACATCATTTGTAAATCTTTAAGGAATCATGTTTAAGTCAAGATTTAACAGTGAAAGTCCCTCATTAAGCCCACTGCTGTCTACAGCCCCAGAAGGTGCAAATATCTGATTACAGTGTTTTTAAGAGACTCATAAATACCTGAGGAAGAAGCATACTCGCCGATAAAGCGCCTTGTGAGGAACCGGACGATGAGAGCTGCAGACAGACAGACAGACAGACAGACGGTGAGGTCGTTGTTCATATCCGACGTTCAACAACCTGTTCCTGATCCACGGCTGTCCTACCTGATTTTCCGACACCTTCACTGCCCAGTACCGCGATCTTGATCTCGTTCATGTTCGCTGAAGTCAGAAATATCCCTCAGGTATCATGCTCTGTAGCGCTGAGGAGGGACACAGTTGGGTGGGAGTCTCCGTCCTCAGAGCTGATGGGCTGCCCGCTGCAGGCTGGCCGGTGGGCGGCCCCTCCAGGGGTGGCACAACGGAGGAGGCGGGGCACCTCCACCCAGACATGTAAGGATAATTATTCAATGACAGCATTTCATTTCTATGGAAGAGATATAAAAAGCCCATTTCTGCCAGTGTGACGGGGAGGAAAAAAATGATTCTGTAAGTTATTATTTTGAGAAAGTTTCTCATCATAATGACTTACAGATTTTTTTTTGAAGGAAAGGTACTTCCATAAAGAAGACTGACATTATGACAGTGCCTATCCCTTTCAAGCAGCACCTGAGTGGTACACTCTAGGGACCCCCACTAGGGGTTACCAAAACTTCATGAGGGGTTGCAAGGCCTTGTTGATTTTAAGGCATGCCTGATGACTAGCCAACTAGATAACTAACTAAAATACATACAGTAGGCCTATATTTCAGTATTTGGATTCACTTCTCTAAAGAGAAGTAAATGCAAAGTAAAGGAAATTGTCTAATAGAACAATGGACAAGTGTCAGGGAGAAGAAAACACTGAATTTGTCAAAAAAAGAAACCTGTATGATTGTTAAGAATTATATATATATATTTATATATATATATAAAAAAAACATAATACAGAAAGAGAATATGTGAAAAGTTCCCTATGAAATAATCCAAATCGCTTGTTTTACACAAACTTCTTGTAGTTACTGAGTTCATTATTTGGGTTAATTGTCCAGTTTTTAATACAATATGAAATAACCATAAAATATTTCACTTAGTCAGGGGTCGTCAGAAGGCCTACCATCAGCCACTTTTTGATATCGGCACTACTGTATTTAGGTTGTCCATGAAAAAACTAAAGTTGTGCTTGCTGAACACCATCACACACTGTCACTCAAAACCTCATAATGGGACACAGGCCTTAAAATAACACCTCAATAGAGGTTTGTGTCAGAACTACAAACAAAAAGTGTAATAATAATAATATTATCATATTATCACATGTGATAATTAAAGCTGCAAGCAGCGATGAATGGGCCCACACACTCCACGCAACTCGGGGGGTGCTGCAGCCGCGTCACATGCCGTCGTAACACGTGCGGACCACAACATGAAAATTTCAGATCATAATCGCATTGCAGCGCTTACTTCCTGTTGCCAGTAGGTGGCGCTCTCACTATATCTGAATATTGTCATGTAGACTATTGTCCATGGTAGAGTGGTTCAGAAGGTGGGGACTCCCCCTATCCAACACGTGTGAAGTTTTAGTGGCCATTGAACATTCGACAACCGTCGGTCACAAAGGCACGCAGTTGGGACGTATATCCAAAAATGCAAAACTTTTGAATCAGCAAAATGTTTTTAAATTGTAACTGACAATTTTAAACTTAAATGCCGATAAATTCCCTTAAGTAGGAGTTTGTTACACAATGCAAAAAAACGTTGGAATTACTGTCCAAATGTTTCGGAAATGGGCAACCAATGTTTGACAATTCGATTCAACCCTGGGCCACCTTTGACGGCAACGCCATGGGAACAACTGCCCCTTCCCAACCGTACAATGCACAAATAGCAACAACTATTAATCAGCACATACCTTTTGACTTGTACTGACCAATTATTGAAGAAGAAAACCATGAATTCCCAAGAGGCCAACGCAATAAAACGCTGAAAATCACAGTGAAATTCAACGTGGCCGAATTTGACGGCACGCCACGGACACGCCGTTCAACGTACAATCACAAATAGCAGAACTTTCAGCAATGTTTTTGACTGTACTGACCAATTTTGAAATAGATCCGATAAATTCCCTAGGAGGAGTTCGTTCAAATACAAGGCGAAAAATTTGCCGAAAGTGAAAATGAAAATAGCTGACTTCCTGTGGGTTTTGGGGCATGGGTCCAAGAGGCTTTTTTGTACGTCTCGGCACGTTACATGTGCCTACCGGGTTTCATACATATCGGTGAAACGTGGCGCTGGGGCTGTTTGTTGAAATATTGTACGGAGCTCTATAAACATGACAAACAGGATTTTTGGTATGTGAGCTACAGGCACCAGTCTACACGTGCCCTGTGAATTTCATATTCATAACTATTACGGTCTCCGCACAGTACCACTTTGTTATTTAAACTGCCACCAGAGCAGACCAGATTGTTGACACATTTTTTAGCAAGCCTTAGGGAGCCATACGCAATCATCGTACCAAGTTTTGTTTCGTGCCCATGTCTATAATGTGATGTTTGGATTCTTAATATAACTGTGTCTTACTCTATTGACTCTTGAACTGAGTGTAGAGTTAATATTTAAAATTATTTTTATTGTTTCAACCCATTAATAACTTATGACTATAGTGTGTTAAGGAAAAACCTTAGCGGTGGAAGCAAAGAAACTGCTGTGGAAACTGTCAAGACATCTGGTTACACATGACAAAATCAATATTTTTTATTTCACATATTTATCATGCCTTAATTGGTAGACAAACTTGATTTTCTTTTAAAACTAAAATACGTTTAACATTATTTTATTACTCATTTTATCCCATAACTATACATCATAAAATGTATCTTAGGTCTACAAAATGCAAATATTAGACAAAGAATCATTTTTCTTCATGTATCTATCTATCTACAACAGTCCAGAATATGTGTTTTAAAATTAAAATCTAAAATTATAAAAATCTGAAATTCCTAATTTATTGATCTAAGGTAAAAAAGCTACCACTAGTGACTATTGATTAAAAAAAGCCTCATACTTTGACCAATGTGAAAAAAATCAGTAGACTTATGAAAAAAATCATGGATTAGCTCAGTTAGAACTTTAAGTGCTGTGAAGGGAATTATAAAATTCAACTGTGGACATGTGCCTCTTTTAACTCCCCTCGTCCACCTCCCTTTCAGTAATCCCAATGTGAACCATGACGGGATGGTTGAAAGCAAGAGGCGCTGGCCTCTGTTCACTATCAGTGAGCAGAAACATGTTGGACTCAACACCGAACCACTGAAGATCCACAAAGGTCTGAGGAACCAGATGTGTGCTTTCTGGAACCGCTTCCTGCCACGCCTCCTCAACATCACTGGTAATCACTACTTCCAAACATTGCTTCTACTCAACACATGACATCTGTTGTGAAAAAAAAATACATATCATGCTAGTTTATCAAGAATGGGGTAAATAACGCTCCAAAGTTAGCTAACTTTTGGTGATGGAAAGACTGGCAAGGCCATTTTTTAAGGGATTCCTTAACCTCTGAAATTAGATATCTGAATCTGGATTAAATGGGTTCTATGGGCACCCACGAGTCTCCCCTTTGCAGACATGCCCACTTTCTGCAAATCTCATTCAGTTTTCTGCATGCAGTATAAATCTGTTATTTTCACCACCCATTGTGACCTCTACGATTGTCACAGCCTTGTGAAAATGTACAACCACAAACTACTGACTAAGGGCATCCAGAGGATGGATGGCTATCCTAGCTCTATTGAAGCCACTGATCTCTGACTGACCATATTTTAGTTGTACAAAAACTGTAGGCTAGGCTGAGATTGAAAGGAAGTTGATATGAAAAAGTTCAATAGTGTATCACATCCTACAAAGCTGGATGCCCCGCCTACTCCAAAACTCATTGTGGCACCACTGACCAAAGGGCTCTATGAGAAGAAGAGAAAAGAAATATCTTGTCATGCTGTACCTAAGGTTCGTCCTGTTTATTGGAGTAGTGAGCAATGTTTACATTGCATAAGAACCTTATGGGACATTAATAATAAATTACTGTAGTTATTAGTTATTAGGTATTACCCAAACCCTCAGGTGTTACAAGGAAAACAGAGTTCTGGCTCTTTTTTTCTTTGACAAGTGACCATGGTATAAGTGGGATTATGCCTCTTCAAGGTGTCCATTATCAGGAGTTAATGTGAGTAGTCCATTAATTCCTAATAATGGACTCCTCATCGGGGCTTTATTCCTTACATAGTCTCCTGGTTTTCTTGTACTCCACCAGTTACACCAGAAATAAAAACACTGCAGTAGTGCAAACAAGCTTTCATACATTGCTCAACAAAGTCCAAAAAAACAAGGAAAGGGAGAAAGCTGCTGCCACAGTCTGCCTACCTCTCAGGAGTAGGATAAAGAATATGTAAAATACTTCAGGGATGAGGGTTATCATTGGTTCAAAGTGTACACTCTTATGTATTCATGTTTATTTATATTACGCAAGACCCACCTTCTTGAGGTTGGCATCCAATCAAAAGATAAATGGCAACCTGTGACAGCATTAGTGCAAAGCTCTACAACAACTCCAGTATGCAGTAAAGGCTCAACTGCTAACCACTTTGTTCCCCTGTGTCTGTGTTTCTTCTCAGACAACATAGATGAGGCAGAGCGTCAGTGGAAGGTGGAGTTCCACCGTTGGTCCTCCTACATGATGCACTGGAAGAGCCAGTTTGACCACTACAGCAAGCAGGAGCGCTGCACTGACCTCTGAGAGCCTCAGCAGAGAGAGGGGAGAATGATGGGGAGGGGGGAGGCAGAGAGAACAAGTTATGGCCATTTTCCTCCATAGCCCCTCAGTGAAGTCTAACTTCATTCAACTTTTTTTGTTATGTTTTCTGTTTTACTACACACACAAACAGGTACTGTTGATCTTTATTTATATTATTTATACTATTTATTTATCTGTTGTTTTTCTGAATATGTGTGTGTCTCTGTGGAAATTTAGGGCTATGGAGGGAACATGTCATCAGTATGGAGGAATATTAGAAATGTCAAAGATGTGTCATTACCTCGGGTGTATGTGTGTGTGCGTGCGTTTGTATGTGGCTTGAAAGCCCACTGTTTAACTCAAATCTCGACAGGCCCATAACACTGCACCACTACCACTGCTAGTTTACTGTTTACTCACTGTTTGGGTTGATCTCATAAACTCATCTTTTGTTTTCTGAGGATTCCTTTTTTCCAACATATCAGGGTTTTGTTTATTTGGACTCAACAACACTGTTTATTTCTGTCGAAGCCTTTAAGTCTTGTTCGTTGCTACTTTTATGACCACTATTCCCATCGCCGGTCGTGTTCTGCTTAACTTTGCCCCGTGTGTTTCTCATGTGGTAAAGCCAAATCCAAATTGGGTTTTTTTGTGAAAAGGCTCCGTGTAAACATTAGAATACCTAGATTTTCCTTTGTGGTTTGTAAGTTAGATCCTTCCATCAGCCCAACTGATTGGTGCCTAATTAAATGCAAAATAAAATCAGCTTGAAAAAAATATCTACTGATACTGTAAAAAAAAACAAAAAAAACTTGATTTTAAAAAGATGTGTACATTTACACTACACAACTGAGATCATATATCTTAGCATCGTACATGAAGGTAAAATGAAGTCAGAAACAGCGGCACCCCAAGTTAAAGTGATGCTGTGTAACAGCGGTCTCTGTGGCCACAAGACAATGGTACATTTTCAACAGTAGTACAACTGAGAAGTGTCATAAAGTCAGTGAAATGACAGTGCCTCTTAAGTAGGGCTGTGGCTAGCAATTATTTGAATTATCAAATAAACTGCAGATTATTTAAATGATACATTGATTATTTAGTTCATATAACATTAGAAAACAGTGAAATACCTATCACAGAATCCTAGAGTACAAGGTGTTGGATTACCAGTCCAAAACTACAAAATATTAAATTTGCTTTAAGAAAAGCAAATTGTCACATTTGAGATTCTTTTGGTTTTGGTAGTTTTGCTTCAATAGGGACTTAATCGATGACTAATGTACTGGTTCTTAAAATATTGTACAAGCTCCCTCTAGTGTAACATAATTTTTACAATGACGTAAATTAATTTAATAAATGTAACATATGATGCTGTCCAAATACTACAACATTTTAAATTAAAATACTTATAGTATGAGATTGCGAAAATGTAATTTTAATATAAGTTTTGCATTTCCTGTAATAGTTTGTTTCAGTATCAGCCTGCTACATAGTCACATTTATGCTTTGCAAAGCATGGCTAACAACAGTCAACAATAAATTATCTCTTTTAAGAATAAACCTGCCTCCTGCATGTACTGTCTGAATAGCTGAATAGACTGGGCCTACCCTGCTGTATTTTAACCTCGGTCATAATGGTGGCACTTGGATATTTCCTGAGGTGGTACGTGCTGTAAAAAGTTTGAGAAACAATCAATATTTGTATATATCAATATTGATATTCATCTTAAATGTGCTAACATTAGCTATGATAAGCTTATGGTCATGGCAGACCAAGAAAGATTGTAGCAGCAGATTGTGTTCAATTGAGCAAGGGTGTAAGAGGATAATTATGTTATTTCTTTTTTAAAAAGTTACATGGTCTCACTTTAAGGCCACAATATGTAGGATTTTAAAAATGTCTTATCTTGGTGCATTTCAGTGGAAGTAATAAATCAATACATTTCAATACACCCATTATAATATAATAATATCCACCTTTGTGCTACTGTACTCTACTGTATAATAGTATATACTAGGGATAAACAGATTATCTGACCTGATATTCAGCATTTTTCTGTCACTATTGTTATTTTTTTAAGTGATTGTTGATTAATTAATTTGAAATTAAGATACTTTGACTCTGATCTGCCACTCTGCTGAAACCTTCACTACATCCTGACAGTAGAACATGAGACAGATAATCTGTGAAAAAATATGGTTCCTCTGGCTCCTCCTGATGCTCCTAATAGCATTTACAAGAATCATACACAGCTGAACAAAAACAACCAGAACTGAGAAAGATATATAAACATATTGGTCAAAGTATTAGTATATATTTGTACATTTTGACATATTCTTACATTGCAGTGATTGAGTTGCCAGTGGGAGTAACTTTGTCCTTCAAAAACCCATATTGACTGTTCTAGCAAACACGAAACATCAACATTATCAATGTCTATGTCTGTACATTTGTGTGTGTTTGTGTGTGTGTCTGTGTGTGCGTGTGCGTCTGTGTGCTGGTTTCATGCACAGCTGTGATGTATTTCTGTGACACCCTTCCCTCTCTGTTCATTCCAGTCCTCACTGCATTATCTCTCTGTCCTGTCATCTTTTCACTTCTTTTCACTCTTCTTATCCTTCCACTTCGCCTCATTTTTATTCCTTACAGTTCCCCTCTCCCTGTTCCTTTCTTTTCCTTCTTTCTATTTTTCCACCAACTGCCTTCCCTCATATCTAAGTCATCCTCCCATCTCCCTTCCATCTCCCATGTCCTCTCCTACTTCTGTATCCGTTCCTTTTTCTTCCATCACGGCCCCGTTGTCCGGCCCCTCGCCCAGCTTTCTATCTTCCTCTCCACTCCGGCTGTCATTTTTATCTTCATCTCTAATCAGCCTCCACCCACCGTCCTGTCTATCCTACTCTCTCACTCCCTCCTCTCCCTTCTTTCACTTACTCTTATGTCAGACTACTCTACCTCCCTCTCATTTCTCTTCCTCCTTCCACTTCATCTAACTTCTCTTCATCATCTCCCTCATCTCTCTTCCCTTACTCATCCATCTCTCAGCTGCATCACTCTTCCCCTTCCTCCCCCCTCTGCTTCACGCTTATCATCCCCTGCCCCCTCCCCCATCTCTCTCTCTCTCCGTCCTCCTGCTTTCTTGTTAGTCTAATGGAAGCAAAGTAATTCACTTAGCGGCAGGATAATGTGACAGAGTGCTGGCTCAGCCCTTGGCCTGCCAGCCAACAGGACATGATGGATTGATGGATGGATGGATGGAAAATAAGGTGGAAAGGTAGGGCGATGAGGCAAGGAGAAAGTAGCAGGGGAGGAGGAGAGGGAGGGGATGAGAGATGACAAGGCAGAAGGAGAGGTGGAGATGTGATGGAAATATGAAAAGACAGTCAGAGAAATACATCATTACATAACTCTAGTCGTTATAAACACTGTGTGTGTGTGTGTG